TGAGCTATCCAGCCACTGTGCTTAAAATTAGATAATCAATCCTCAGACAAGTAATTGCAGGCAAGACCATCATTTTCAGTGTGGTAAATTAGGACAAATAAATCCTTCTTATCTTACCTCATTTCCTATCATCGAAGACAGGAGAATTGAGCGTGCTGTAAAAGATCCACCAGGAGCTTAATTTAGCATCTTAAAATTAAGCCGTAAATCTATGATTTTTTTTCTAAATAATCATTGATCCTCTTTGGTTGTGAAAGTATGCCATACAAATGCTGTGTAGTAGGATCTACACAAAATCACTTATTTCTCTCAGGCTGTGATCTGGCATAGACCCGATTAGATTTATCTTTAATTAAACCTGCACTCTTTAGACTTTGGCCACTTGGGGGCAGTGTAACAAGCAGTAAACTTAGCACTGACATGGTATTATCACATTCTTATTGTTTAAAGGCCACATCTCGCCAACACTAACACACATTTAAAGTCATGCATCCAGCTGCCTGATCAAGTCCCCATTCTTTAACCTTTTAGCTGTGTTTAAGTCTCCACCAACTGGACTATATCTGCTTCTTTATTTGCTAGATGCTCTATTATGTTCAACAGCAGATAACTTTGTCTGTCTGTTGTTTGGGCAGGTAGCAGATTCCTCCTGTGAATGGAAACAAGGTTGATGAGAGCAGCAAGACTGTGACAATGATGATGCTAAAACCCTTTGTGGAGCTCCAGAGGAACAGCTAAGTCAGGTGATACTTCTGTCTGAGTTCAGCATTACGAGCTTAAACTAATAAAAAGTAATAATTGGATTGAAACATGTAATTATTCTGTTTAGGGTCATTTTTACTAATAATTGAATTTGTTGCTTACTTACACATGATTAATTCCATATCATCAGTAATTTACTACTCCAAAGTAATGGAGCTGCAGCTTGTGGCCATTTAGTCCCTAATGAAAATATTTCTGACTTTTGAAGTCTTGGTAACATCCGACAACAGTAAATGGCTGTCAACCCCTTTCTTTGAGGAGTTGAGGCTCTTCAGACACAGCAGAGCAGTCATGAAGGTATGAAAGGGAGAAGTATCTGAAGTGGATGTCATGCAAGGCTGCTGGGCTTCCTGTTAGCAATGACATCAGCTGAGCGGCTGGGGGAACTGAAATCTATGTTTCTTTTAAGATGGGGTAGGAAAGGTCAAGAGGTGTGACCTTTCCCTGTTAAGTGTTAAGGCCAGTTAATGGCAAAACCAAAACAACACAAGTGAACCATAATGTAGAATATAGGACCCAGGTGAGTGTGACAGGGTTTTAAATACTGTGTGAAAGGTTTCAGGACCAGGACGCTGCTGTGCGACATGAACTTGTGCTTCATTAGATTCAGGCATGTGGCAGTTATGTGCACTTTTTCCTGAATATGTGTCTGTGATGTTGGAAAGTAATGCTAGCTTGCGGGTCATCTTGATTTTATTAATTATAATAGGATTTATGCTTTGAAAACAAACTATATGTTGCTAGATTCCTTTTTTTGGTGAGTAGTATCTCAGTATATACTCGAAAGCTGTAGGATACAATACAGCTATTTGCCTTTCAACTTTTTGTCCCACTGAATAAACTAAAACTAGTGGCAGATCTTTGTACTGATAAGGAGATTGTACAAATGTTTATGTAGGAAAATCACATTTTAAACACCATTCAAGGTTTGTCTGTAAGGTTTGTCCCCCCTCCTTCTTCTTGCCATCCCATAATAGCACCCAACAGCACCACCAGCTCTTCATGTAAACTCCCAATATTTGTATAAATGTAGTGAGTGGAAATTTTGTGGAAATGCATATTAATTAACATTTTCTTCAGTGAACTTTAGAAAAAAAATAAAGAGATGTCTTGAGTGGTTTTATAGGGGTGAAGGAGTTTATGTGATTTAGAGATTTAGTCTTTTAGCCTTTGAACAACAGATCTAGTCATCCTGCCCACTAACAGGGTTTGACACAGCTGTCACGAGTTATTGAGGCCTCTGAGATGGACCAAACTGGCTTCTGAAAGCAAGAAGTGTGATCCTGCTGCACACGGCATAATTGATTTGAATTAAAAGTTATTCAACTGTAGCAGTGATGCCAAATAAGCTTTTTCTTTTAAAGAATTATAAAACATTTCGGTTTAGCTTTACCCTCTGTAAACACCACTTTGTTCTTTTGAAATTTTTGAAAGTGAGAGCTAGCATGTTCTGTTTGAGGGCAGCTTTAGCCCGAGGGAGGCATTGAGTGATGTTTCCAAAAGCCTCCATGAGCCCCCCCCCCCTTCTTTTCTAAAAACTGAAAGTTCAACACTATCGTTTGAGGCATTCTTGCCTGCCTCGCAAGGCTGACACACAAAACACTAGCCACCAATGCACACTTACTGTATTCAGTTCTATACAATGAAATTCTTCCAGAGGGTCAGTTAAAGTTAATGTGTTCTTTTTAATTTCATATGAAAGATGAAAATCCATGCTCAGCATCCTTTGTCGCCACAGTCCGTTTGTGAGTTTCTGTGCATTTCTGTGATTCAGCTCTGTGTAGTTTGACACTAAATGAGTCAGAAAAAAGCCTGCACTGAAAGCAGCATCAGATGGTTTTTATCGTGCTGCACAATGCAACGATAAACATGTAGAACATAAGCACTTTCATCTCCCTTCTAGCCTCTGTGCTGCTGGCCTCTACAAAGATATTTGTAAGAAATCATTGTGCAGGTTATGAGTTGATTATCTCTTGTGCTGCTTAAAATATCAACGTTTTGACATAAGCTCAACGCGTGGAGAAAGCAGAGAAGTGCTGCTGCACCTCATCTTTCTTGTACATGAGCTGTTTTTTGAGTTATTCAAGCCAAAAGAAAAGCTTCTGCATTACACTCACAGCTGTTCACAAGAAAACGGCCCCTTCTGAGTCGTCCTTTCTTTTCTGTTCTGTCTTGGAGCTGTTTGGGAAAGAGGGAGGGGAGGTGCAGGGAGGAGGAGGAGGAGGGAGGTGGAGTAAGGTTGGAGTCCCACACAAGGGGGAACCACTGGCCAAAGCCGTTTCATACTGTGTTCCTCTGAGCTGTTTGTATTCGCTGGGAGTGAGCGTGCACCTGTATCTTTCAGGACGCACTGGTCTCTCTCATTCCAACTGCTTGTTTGTGAGTGCTGTCATGTCAGCGGCTCGTGCAGCAGATCAGCAGGAGGGGGGCAGAACTGGACCGGGCAGACTCAAAAATAACAAATACTCAGAGCAAAGGAATTGTGTTTGGAGAGTTTCTGCCTCCATTTTGAGACAAAAGAGATCTGAGGAGCAAACTTGCCTTGCCGGGGATGAAGGACTGATGACAAGCAGACTTGTGTGGAAGAGGGTAAGTCCCTGACAAACAGCAAGTTATTCTAGCATGTTTGGCTTCTACCAGGATCTGTATAAAAAGTGTTTACCTTCTCGTACAACTGCTTGGAAACCCTTCAGCAGACTGAACAATACTTTCGCCGTGTGTGAGTGTGCGCATGTGGGGGCGTGTGTTGTTTGTTGAATTTCATGATGCCTTGGTTGCTCTCTGGTTTTTCTCTGGATTAGACTCAGCTGCTCTCTCGGGGTTTGTTTTGTTATCGTTCATCTGTTCAGACATCAGCACACACCTCCACACACAGGAAGCAACTGGACATTGTGATGTTTTCACTCAATAGGCCAGATATTTACCCCTGCTTGTTCAAATAACAAATGTTTAGTTGTAAACCATTAACCTGTAGTAATAAAAAATAAAGCAGCTCAGGCAGTCTGCAGTAGATTATCTCTGATGTTAGAGAGTTCAGTATTGTTTCTTTAATAAAAAATGAGGTCAGAAAAATACCACAATTGATCATTCTGGGAAGTTTGTTGCCCATGCAGTTTTTCATTTTTGTGGTCAGAGCTATTCTTCAATATTAACATATCATATAAATATATATATATATATATATATATATATATATATATAATCATGACCAGGAACACATGAACACAAGGACATGCTCTATGTGTGGAGTTTTGTAGTTACTTAAAGCTTGTCTTCTCACTGTTAAAATAGTGTCAGTTTGATTAAGGGAAGCGATGTTAAAAGTTGTTGGCAGCTTCAATGGATGTTGACAGATGAGGACAGAATTTAACAGTCTGACAGTTGTTAATGCAGAAGGTGGGGCTAATTTAATGTCAAATAACTTTGCTTGAATTCCAGGTTTGAATGTTCATCAGAGGTAAAACACAACATTATCACTGATCAAAAAAGTTTCTGGTCACCACTGAGACCCAGCAGTGTCCAGACATGACATCTTCGTACCAGTCGAAAATAGAACAATCAAAGTGGATCACCAATCAAAACCGCATGTGCATGATGAATTAAACATTACAGTGAGTAACAAACACCAGATAATCAGAGCCAGTAGTTGTTAATCATTTGGACCCAGCCTGACGGTTGTGATTACTAGGAACTAAAGAGGCTTTCACACCTACCTGATTGATCCGGACCTTCTGACCTTTCCACTCAGTCAAACCAAAATAACAGGTGTAAAAGGTACCTCAGACCAGTCTGGTCCAACAGACGTACATTTAGTCCAAAAGAGGTGGTTTTGGACTAGATCAAACTAAACCAGGTTTGGATCATTTGTATTGTGGAAACACTTTCTTGAATAATTAAGACATTAAGCCTTAAACAATAGAAGAAGAAAGAGGATTGCGTACAGTCTTCGCCTCAGACAATATGTTTGGAAGATGAGGATATTCATTTTGCTGGTAGTAATACTACAGTGATTGGAATGAAATTAACAAAGTAAACCAGTTCAGTCATTTTCTCCATTCAACCACTACTTTCTTCTTTGGGCTTTATTCAAAAAAGTTTGTGAATACAAAAGAGCCTAACTGACAACACACCAAAGTCAAAGCCACTTAGGTGATGATAACAGGATGTACATATGTCACACAAAAGTCTATAGTGCTAAATCCTAAATTACGATATGAAACAAAAACTAACCGGATCAAATGGAAACAATGTAACACCTTGGTTTGGACCATTGTCTGGACTTTCAGGTATGAAAGCATTGTAAGCTAACCTGTGTTGATCTCCATTTACCTCATTACCATAGGACATTAACGTTTCCTTTACTCTGAATTAGTGAAGTCAAATAATTTTACATATAGGTTTTAAATCCCACCTCCTCCATGTTAGTTGATGTGACTTGGACCTAAGTAATAAGTCAAAGAACATGTCTAATGCAAGTTTCTCAGAGATGGTGTCTATTGTTTTAGGTCTTTCATATGACAGTGATGCTTTTTGAAGTGCTGATTTTACTAGTAAATGATAGAAAACTGGGTGAAACATCAGGATTGACAGCTGAGACTGACTTGCTATTTGTCGAGCTTGTGGTCGATTCTCGACTACTGCTCCGCTACACAATCACTACTGTGCAGACTCTGGCTCCAAAAGTGCAAAATGGTGGAACCCATGTCCAGGATCTTTTTGCATCAATATTTGTACAGTGTTAGGTAGTGGAGACTAGTTTTCCATCTTTATGTGCAGACTATGATCCATACCTGAAGTAACCTGCTGAAAAAATGATTGTTCAGAAAAGAGATAATGATAGCTCGAGTGATGAATTCTTCATCTTGTCTCATGTCTGAGGTTAAGCACTCGTAAAATGGCTGACCACTCTTCTGTAGCCTCAGTTAGGCAGTTTGAAAATCTACACGCTATCCTGCAGGGAAACAGATTAAAATAGCTCTGC